AATAAATAAAATCTTTAAAAAAAAAAAAAAAAAAGAAATTATGAGTGTATATTCTGTTCCACACACAGCCAAAGAGGTGAATTTAGAGGTGCTGAGGATGAAATCTCTGGGATGAAAGTATTTTTCAAAAGGCAAGAGCAGGATCTATCTCAGGACCTAAAGCAGATTGAGGTTTCTCAATCTCAGCACTACTAACATTTTAGATTGAATAATTTTTGGTTACAGGGGGTTGTCCTGTACTTTATAGAACGTTTACTAGCACCTTGGCCTCTACCCATTAGATGCCAGTAGCACCCTGCCAATCATGACAATCAAAGCTGTCTCCGGACAATGCCCAATGTCCCTTGCAGGGTGGGGGTGGGGGGTGGGGGGATGCTTGGTCAAGAACCACCAATTTAAAGTTTTACCCACAGGAAGGCTTGGTTTTCCTACCCTTAATTCTTAAACATCGCTCTTAATTTCTTGGGCCCCTCCCCCATTCTACTACTATTTGGTGGTTCCCTAGCCCAGCCTCCTGTCCTTCCTCTCTCTACCTCACTCTGATTTAGCCACCCCCTATGCCAAGAGATCTACCTTTGAGGCAATAGGAGAGCCAAGGGCAGAGGGATCTCCAATGCAATGGAGACAGATGTGTTTCTGGAATCATAAATTGAAACGCTGTGCCCATTTCTCATACAATACCGCTACCCTGGAAAACCATTACCTCCTCTCCATCCCCTCAGGTCCTCCTCATTTCATCCCCAGATTATTCAGTCTTGAATCCACTTTCTGCCTCCAAATTCTGCCTCACTCCCTACTACCCAATCTATCCTCTACAATATTTCTAGGCTGACTTTTAGAATGTCAGTCTATGTAAGTCACCCTCTGCTTATATTCTCTCAACAGCTCCCTACTGCCTTCAGGACAGAACATACATTCTTCAGGTTATAAGCCTCATCACTTACTATTTTTTGGCTATACACCAGATGCCAAAACACAGAATCACTACTTTTCAAGTCATGCTTCTTCACATTTGTGCTTTTGCATACACTGTTCCCTAAGTCTGGAATTTCCCCATCCCATTCTTCCTGGGGATAAAGTCTCCTCACCCTTGGCTTCCAGAGCTCTGGGAAGCTGCCTCTGGGCCTCGGTCTGAGTTAGGTGTCAACCCTATGAGCTCTCACAGCATCCCGTGTCCCTCTTCACCGCTGTGTGCTGAAGTATAACATGTGTTTACTTATTATTTTCTCCTACTAGATTAGGAGATATTTGAGGACAGGACCCACATTCTTTTATTCCCCCAAACCTATCACAGGGCCTTGCACATACTTAAAAAGTGGCTACAAATTTTAATACTAAAATAAAACTAAAATTCGTCATTAAATCCCTTTTTTACCTAAGTTGGCTAATCCAATAGCTAATTTTCTACACTATCCGGATGTAAACTACCTTGTACAGGTTCCTGAGAAGGAGCTGGGTCCGGAACTTCTGCTGGCATCTGCTGTTCACTCACCACTGCCCTATCAGGAGCTTCAGCCATCATTTGTTGAAATGGGAATGTATAAAAAGCTTGAGCTTGCTGAAGGGAATAGCTGAAAGAACAGTTAAATATAAAATATGACAATAAAGTTACCCAACTAGAAGTTTAAACAATCAGCTGTAAAAAAACTTCAGGATCCAAACGCTTTGTAACCAGACTGTAATATTTGGAGTTGATAACAGGGGCAAAGGGAGAAGGAATATCTGTTTCCACATGCGCACATTCACCCAATTTTTACTTTGTGCCTACTAACCAAACGTTAATTAACTCTCCCACTGTTTAATGACAAGATGTGTCATCAATAAAACTTACCAGTCCTGTCAAGTCAGCCTCTGCTTTCCCTGAAATGAGATCATGGGAATTTTATAGCAGAGACATTTAAAAGGCACAGCAGCTCATATAGGATTAAAGTGTCCATAAAAACAATTTGTGTCTCTATCTTCGATTTAATCCTTTTGTCACAAAGATCCCCTCCAATCTAACCCTCGCCCAGCTTTACTGATATACAATTGACATATAACTTTGCACGAGGTAAAGGCATATAATGTGTTTTGATACATGTATTGCAAAATGATTACTAACACAGTCTTAACTAATATCTGCATCCTGTCAAATAATTACCATTTCTTTTTTGCAATGAGAACATTGAAGATTTGCTCTCTTAGCAACTTTCAAGTATATAGTACAGTATTATTAGCTGTAATCACCACGATGTACATTAGATTCCCAGATCCTGGTAATCTTTATACTCTCGACCAACATCTCCCCCATTCCTGCCTTCCCTCCAATCTAACTTAAGGTTCTCTTTTGGTTTATCTGCCTACTTAATGATTTATTCATTGGATCTGTTTTTAAATCGTTGCTGGGTTTTTGCCACTAGATTAGGACTAGAAATGGTTATTCTGTTCATATCTGTGAATTTATGGAAAAAAACACTTTAAACCTCTTTTTTGAACATTTTTCAGACTTTGTTCCAAGTATTCAGTTCAATATAAGGGACACAGGCAAAAAGCAACTTTTCACAAAAAGCAACTACCAAAAAAACCAAAAAAAAAATTTTAATGACTATAAACCACTATCTCAAACTGTTGCCCT